TACTTCTTACTTGTCTTGTTTGCCACTTCTTATACTAATATTGATCCTTTACAGGTACTATCTACTATGGCACCCAAGCAAGACCGAATCTACGCACGCAGGCGATCGAAGTCTGTCGCCCAGTCTACTCGCATGGTCATTGGCTCGGATGATGAGTGTGACCCTGAGTATGTGCCCCCAGGCACTTCCACCTCTTCCCGTGTTGCACGTTCTCCCACAGCCACACCCAAAAAGGTGGCATCCAGCGTAGTCACTGCCTCCCATTCTGATGAGGAGCGCACACTGACCGGCACACCCTCTGGGTCAGCAACAAACGAAGAAGGAGCGTCTTGCTCCTTAGGAGTATACTGTTCGGAGGAAGCTCTGGCTCTGCTGAGGTTTCCGCACCCGCCACCGCTGCAGCTTCAACCTCGTCTGCTGAGGCTGACAGTTCAGAATATACATAAGGCTCACCAGCTCAGGTCCCACCCCACCCACTGACCAGCCCAACCGATGGTGTGTCGACGGGCAATTTCAAGTCTACTCCGACGCCAAGTTCCTGACTGATAAAGGAGTGATGACTCGAACACTTACCTTGGAGTGGCGGTTCCTTACAGGGAGCCTTCAGACGATGCCTGAGATCCGCAATTCACCAGGCATCGCTTGGAGTGGACAGCACGTCCGTTGGGACGTTACAGTGAAGAAATGATCCGAGAGTTCTACGCATCCTATGTAGTGACTCTCCGATCGTAGATAGATAGGTGGGCTGCCCCCGCTATACAGGCCTCACTGGAGCAGGTCTGAGTACGGGGTGTACAGGTTGACATTTCCTTGCCTGCTATCCGCCAGTTTCTATACGGCGAGGGTGTTGATGCTACTCAGACCCCTCTCACTGCCGAGTTTTACTACCGCTGGCAAATAGTTAAAGATGGCCAGTTCCCGCGCGAGCCATCACTGAGAGAGACCACCAAGATGTGGATGGACCTGCACCTGTCAGTTGATGGAGAGGGTGTCGACTGGGTGACTGAGCCAAAGGAGGCCATCAAGAAGGCCAACCTCACTTTCATGGCAAAGTTCTTGTGGCTGCTTGTCCGTCACTGCCTTTCCCCCACAGCTGCTAATAATATTGTTACGTGGGATCGAACAGTGTTGATGGCGGCGATGATAGCCGGGTTCGAGGTGGACTTCGTGTGGCTTCTACAGGTAGTGGGTATTATCCCTAAAGAAAATATGTGATAACATATGTCACAGAAAGGAGATATGTGACAACATTTCATTGTTACCAATGTGGTGTCTGTGACAACATATATAACCTTTGTTGTAAAAAACTATAGAATTATCTGCATGTACCCCAACAGAAAGGATATATGTAGCAACAAATGTTACTCTATGAAATGTCAAAAAAAATTAAAAAAATTAAAATAAGAATATCGAAGACAATCATCCCTTCATTTTTCTCTCTCCTCCTCTATCAAAGGTCATTTCGCGTCATATTTCAAATTTAAATTATTTTTAATATTTTTGTTTTCTTTTCTTTCTATCATTCTATTATTTCTTTATAGTTCAAATTGTTGCTATGTTTTCTACAACATCAGTGGTAAATATATTGCAATTTTTTCTACAACAAAGCGTCGTTGCCCTCATCATTTCTAGTTTATCTTTGATATCTTTTAAGATAAAATTTAATTAGAATTTTGAAATAGTTACTGGTATTAAATCAGGACTTTTTTTTAGTGATTTTATCACTTATTTGTTTGTAGGATGGTTGGGTTGTTATTCCTTAAAAAAATATTTTAGGATGTAGATGTTGCCACATATGACATATCTGTTGCAATTTTCCCAACAGAACGTGCATATGTTGTCACATATGTCACCTCAAGTTTGACTTGATCGATAAATTGAGCTATTTAGTAATGGAAAAATGTCAAATTGGACTAAATTTTTGTACTTTGGACCATACTTAAGCAATAAAAATATGTTATAACACTTGAAACTACGATTTACATGGGTGTTATATAATTACAATATGAAGTTACTTAGTCACTGTATGATGAACTAGTATATGTGATAATTTTTGTAAAAATAATTGATAGAATTGAAGAAGGTTGTTATATTAGACTATAATTTTGTACTTAGACATGTTGTAGGACTATATATTAGTGTTACATGTTGAATTAGGTAACAATTTAATTGGGTTAACTCCTAAAAGATTATTTTATGATATACATATGTTGCCACATATGACATTTCTGTTGCAATTTTTCCAACAGAACGTGCATAATGTTGTTACATATGTCATTTCAATGATAACTTAATCGATAAATTGAGAAATTTTGAATGGAAAAATGTCGATTTGGACCAAATTTTAGTACTTTGGACCATAATTATGCAATAAAAATATATTATAACAATTGAAATAACAATTTACAAGGGTGTTATATAACTATCATATGTAGTTACTTGGTCATTGTATGATGAACTAGTGGTATGATAGTCTTTGTAAAAATAATTGATAGAATTGATGAAGGTTGTTGTATTACACCATAATTTTGTACTTAGACATGTTGTAGGACTATATATTAGTGTTACATGTTGAATTAGGTGACAATTTAACTGAATTAATCCCTAAAAGATCATTTTATGATATCCATATGTTGCCACAAATGACATTTCTGTTGCAATTTTTCCAACAGAACGTGCATATGTTGCCAGATATGTCACTTCAAGAATGAGTTAATTGATAAATTGAGCAATTTAGGAATGAAAAAAATGTCAAGTTGGACAAAATTTTAGTACTTTGAACCATAATTAAGCAATAAAAATATGCTATAACACTTGAAACAATAATTTACAAGGGTGTTATATAACTATCATATCAGTTGTGACATGTAAGTCACATATTGCTACATGTCTAGCTTATATGTTGCAGCTTGTATAAGTTATATATTGCAACATATGTCTATTCTGTTGCTATTGAAATAACCTTTCTGATGCTACGTATGTCTATAATTTTTTCCAATAGTCAATTGTTGCAACATATAGCAATCTATTGAAAACGCGAATGCAAAATATTAAAAAAATTGCAGGTACCCAGATGGTGATGAATGATTTCAAAAAATTATTAATTTTACATATCAAAACAATGGTGCGTGACCCTAATCATTTATGAAGTAATTTCAATTGATACAAAATGAAATCTGATCCACTGATTAAATTAGTTAAATCTGATTAAGAAAAAGAAAAGAAGAAAGCTGAAAAACTAGCAGCCAAGACCAATAATGTACGAAAAGAAGAGAAAAAAAGAATGAGAAGAGAGACAAGCAAGCAAGCATGAACGAAGAAGAAGGAGAAGAGGAAGTAGAAGAATACGATGAGAGGTGGGTGAAAAATATTTTATTTTCCCTTTTGGTACAGCTTGCTGGTGGCTTCCCCCTAATTTTAATTCCTACCAAAATTGGTTAAATTATTTTTGTCAATTTACCTTTTTACCCTTCATTTAATTCAATGGTTCAACTATCATCTTATAAACTTGATTGCAACTCTAGAATCCTTAATCATTAATCACATAATTGTTACATAGACCCAATACTTAAGACTTATGTCATCGCCCATTTGTTTTGAAACCTAACTGTCACCTTTTTTTAAAAGTCTGATGATAGTATGCGACACTCTCCTAGGAGGCTATGATATTTAAAATTATAATTCTTTTTAAAAATATATAGTTCTTCAATTCTAATATTTGTCCATTTTGACAAATCAAGAAATAACAATTTTTTATTTATTACTATATCCTAAATTATTTATTTTGAAAAAGATAGAACTTATTTAAAATCTTAAATTTTAATCCATTAACTTCATAATTAATAGGGGTAAAATGATAAATTCACTTTAGTAATAATTATTTTTTTATTAAATGTGTCAATTAAAAAGTAAACAAATAATTAAAAACAGAGAAAATATGTATTTAAGAATAAAATCAAGTAAAAATTTACAAACTTAATACATTCCTCGTTTGAACAAACAACAAAGTTCATCACCAGTCTCCCATAATTAATAACACGTTAATGTATTTACAAAAATAAAATCTTCTTAGGATAAGATATTTCTATCACCGATTGTAATTGAATCTAAAATCATAAATATCAACTTTTGACTCGGTTCAAATAAAATAAAATAAAATAAAATTCTAGTCAATTTTAAAGTACTAAATATCAGGAATTCTTACCACTTACAAATATATCTTAAAAATTTACATGCGTTCTTATATAAATCAAGACTATATTAGGAGTTCTTACCTATTTCAAATAAATAAAGATTTGATAGTCATAATATTAAATAATAGAAAAATACTTAAAATTACAATTATTTTCTAGGAACACGATTAAAAAACTATTTTGTGTAAGGCAAATTCTTTTAATGAGTGACAAAAAATTCAAAGATAGGTAGACACAGCGTCACATTTGTAATTAACATTAAAATAAAAAAAAATAGATTTATATTATGTAAAAGTAATATTCTAATAATTTTTCCACAATAGCGGCCCAACTATAACTATAAAAGTGGATATTTGTGCGTGCCGTGACCGGCCCGATGCCAGGCCCAAAAATTTGTAGACTGATGAGCCCCTTCATAGCATAACAACTGGTACCAAAACCAACACCCAGGCCCTTTTCGTAAATCCAAAAATCTCTTCATATTTATGAAGTAAATTAAGTTGGACAATATTTTTCCCCTAAAATTAAGCTTCACAAAAGTAGGGTTGATCTCTCGATCAAGGACTCTGCCTTGTTCTACAAGTTGTCAATTGTAATATAGAAATCAATGGTTCATGATCGTTTCTGAGAAATTCCATGGCTCTACCTCTCGGCAAGCTCACTATCCTCGTTGGTGCTGGTTCGTACTCTCTCTTTCTCCTGTTTAGTTGATACTTTACACTCTTGCTGCTGAATAACATGTATTATCTTGCTATCACAACTTCAGTTTACTGCTTTACAAAATCCTAAGGGGTCGATCATTAGGATCCTCTGGATAAGTATGTTCTTTTGTTAATCTAATACATTGTTTGTTTTGTAATTTAGAAACTCGCATAACTAATAAATGTGTTATTGATGAATAACTAATACATGTTCCGACTTAAAATAATGTACATAGTTTCCTCATAACTAATCCTGTATTACTAATACCATAGCTTTTACCAACTACCAAACGTGAATACCTATTTGCAAACAGAAGTTCATCAATTTTTCGAAAAGTTTGTGACCCAGGAATCTCAGCTTTTAATTGAACATCTACAGCCTTTTTTGATGCAAAAGTAGAGTTGCTTTGTCGTTTTTGAGATGTGAATACAACAAATAAGTCATAATATATATAGCCTTTTCCTAGCGAGGGAGCAATAACCCTTTATTACTTTTTCTGTGTCTTTCATGCCTAAGCAAAGAAGAAGAGTAGAAGGTTTTGGAAAACAAGGTATGATGTGAAAATAAGACAAGGAGAATAGCTGGAGGAGATGATAGTGATTTTATACAACTTTTGAAGTTCACAGTGAGAGAAAGAACTACTGAAGGAATTTTAAGAGTTGCAACTTTATTTTGTTCTGCATAATATTCATTTTAGGAACTAAAATTGACACTTATGAAATAAAGTAATAACAATGGTATTGGTTGTGTTGAATAACGGATCTCATAATTTGTGCAGGCATTGTTGGGTCAGTACTTGCTAAGGAAGGACGATTGCCAGATGTCTCCGATTTTTTCTCCGGCGCATTTAAGGTCTGGTTGTCATTCACAGTTTAGTGTTTTGAGAGTTTTGGTTGTGTTGCCTTTTAGTTTCTCTACCATGTCAATTCAAAATGAGCTAAATCTAATACATTGTGTCTTCTGACTGTAGATTGCCTTGAGGCAAATTCGACAAGATAAATCAACCAGTTCAACTCCAAAGCCACGCAATGATTCATTGCTGCAGCAGGTTTTGCAATTTCTCTTGCTTGTTCATGTTTGGTGCATATGGTTTTACTCATCTTTGGAATTTGTATTTATTCTTAGCTTGATCATTTTATGATTATGCTGTAGTTAGAAGATTAAAGTTTCTTGTAAAGCTTAAAGTTTACATGTCATCTCTGACAATTGGAAATTCAGTAGTGAAGTTTCTTGATGGATTAGGAAGAAGGCATGGATTGTAGAAGATTGATTTTCGTATCTGTGGTGTGCCATACACTATTTTGTCAATAGGTGTATGACACATATGAGAGTTTAAGAGAGGAGAATAGGACGTCTTTGATCAGCATAGAAAACTTTAGCATTTTCTTTTGCTGGTTATTATGTGGAACTAAACTTTGGATGAGATATGGGAGTAAATTTTGATAAGTAACTGAAGGATGGAAAGCAGGTTGTACTCATTGGGAAAGACCTAATGAATGGTGTAATGAGAAAGGAATGAATCACCATGTGGAGTATCTCGTTAAACTGCCAAACAAAATGAGGCAAGTAACCTTTGACAATAGAAGCCTACAATCTAGCTAGGTGATTGTGGAGGTTATTTTGTCAATACAGATGTAGGCTATGAGGAAAGAAGTTGTCTTCCCAATTTAATCTTAACCAAGATATTTTTATCATTGCTTTCCGGATGAGAAGACATGATATGTCCAAGTCTTGGGCCATCTTTTTCTTGATTTTTTTCCTTACCAATGACATGACCTTAGATTGGAAGGTTTGGAGGACACGTATTTGTGTAGTAGCTTAGTAGGTAGCGTAGTGTTGTTTTGCTTAGGGTGGTTGATATCCATAATTATTCATTATTGTTTTCAAGACTTTATTCTAGTATTTTGTGTATTGTGTTTCAATTATTGCACTATTTTGTTGTAGTTGTTGCTTCCTTCTTGTAGACTTTGCACTGTTGCCTTGTGTCTCACTATATTTTCTTCTTTATATTTGGAATTGCTACATCTGAGCCAAGGGTCTTTCAAAAACAGCCTTTCTACCTCCATGAGGTAGTGGTTAGGTCTGCATACATTCTGCCTTCCCCAGACCCCACTTGTGGGATTTCACTGAGAATGATGTTGTTATTGTTGTTTTCCTAGGGTATTATGGTTATTGAAGATAATGATAATTATTGTGGAAATTATTATTTTGAACCAAGAGCTATTTTATTTAGTGTTTTGAGCTAAAATTTTGTCAATTCCGATGTCTCTTATAACAACTCTCTTATGACAAAAATACCACTTCATGCCTTCTCCTAATGCAGTTATTTGATTAAATTGTTAACTTATATCTGTCAGCAATAGTAGTTTCTTTGCAGGGATTTTCTACTAGATGGTTTTCAGTTTTCAAAGTTAATAAGGTCCATGCCTCATTTATTGAGGCATATGGCTTACTTGGTCAATGCCCCCGTTCTAGTTTTGCTTTTCTCCTGGACAAGACTGTAGGGATTAAGGAGAAATGGGGAGGTGGATAATTAATTGAGCTAATCGGAGGCATCTTTTACCCCATAGCGAAGAGTTGAACCAAGATTTCAGGATGAACTAGGTTAAGATGTAATACTTGATTTCGACGTAAAGAATTGTCCTATGCTAAACAACATGTTGAATGAATTGATTGTATATTATGAGATTTTGAAATCTTTTCATCTTTAGGGCTATCATGTTGTGAAGGAAGTTGATGAAAAAATTCTTTACTTCAAAATTGCTCTTAAAATTTATTTTCTTGGCTCATTTTTATTTTATATATATTTTGAATGCTTACATACATACATCATCTTTCTCTCGATCCATCACCTATGTGGGCTGATAACCTGAAGGAGTATTTTACTAAAGAGGAGTTTGGCTAACTTGAGCTGTTTTGTGAATAAGGATCTCTAGGCTCAGTAAGCTTGACGTTGGCCTAGACATTTACTTGCATCACATGAACTTAAGATCATGTTTGATCCCACATTCAGAAATTGAGCTTGCGTAAGACATGTTTATGTTCATGAATTATTCATCTTACCTTTTTTTTTGAGACAGTAACAACTTGTATTCTATTCCAAAACAAAAACCAGAACCTGCCACAATAAGTTACAGATTCCTAATTACAGTTCTTGAGAGCACCAGGAAGATCTTTAATCCTATAGCAAAATTTAAAAGGAACCTAAAACATCTTTGATTGATTCTAGATCTACTATGTACTCCTGTTTACACCAAAAAAGGAACAAAACTAAGCAGTTCATCTTAATCTTCTGGATGAAATTGCTCTTGTTCTGGAAGCATATGAGATTTCTTTCTTTCCACACGGACCACCAGTTGCAAGCCGGAATGATTTTCCATCTTTCTTTATGTGCGGAAATGCTTGTATAACTGCTCCATATCTTCAGGGTCTGCATAATTTTCCTAGGCATAACCCATTTCATGTCCTTCTGATTGATAAAGACATTCCACAAAATGTTGGTTATTTTACAGTAAAGGAAGAGATGGTTGACAATCTCTACTTCTTCTTCACCACATAGAAGGCACCTAGGACTCAATTGAATATTTTTTTTCATGAGATTTCCCTGGGTCAAAACTGCCTGTTAAGCAAGTAGCCAAGTAAAACAAGACACCTTGTAGGAGATTTTAGTTTTCCATATCAACTTCCATGGCCACCCTCATCTTACCTTTTTTTAATTGAAGTATGAAAATATACATATATGCTATTAAATAAGTTCTTTTAGGCTGTATAATTGATGTGATTTGGTGTTGGGAATTAGAGTGAGTTTTCAGGGACATAAATCTTGAGATTAACCTTTCCGAACATGGACAAAATTTCATGTCAAAAGGAGATGCTACTCCAACAGCTAAGGAGTACGCGGGGGTGGGGGGTGGGGGGAGTGCATTGTTTTTCAGGTTATAGGAATAACTTCCAAATTTGAGAGGTTGAGGGTATTTGGTCAAGTTGCTCCACAAACAAACAACTTGACAGGATAGGCAAGATGTATGGAGATGGGGCCTATGGGAAAACAACATCATTTCGGTTATGTTGCTCGGATTCTTTGAAAATTGTCAGTAGTTGGTGTGTGTCAGATTCTCCAAAAGTACTGTATTTTTTGGAGAATCCGACATGGGTGTGACATTGAAAGTGAAGAGTCCACATAACTTAGTTTTTCAGTTAAGTCCTGCTATGTGAAGCTTCTGATTAGGGAAGAGTCATTTTTTTCCACACATCACAGTGTGGATCCCTAGGGTATTGAGAAACATTTCTTTCACTTGGCTAACCACAAGAGGGGTAATTTCGATGGTGAAAAACTTGAGGAAAAGAAAGATTACTTGTGTCAATTGGTGCGTCATGTGTAAAGAATCAGGGGACGACGTAAATCACCTCCTTTTGCATTGTCGGATAGCACCTTGTCTATGGTTTGGAATTGAGTAGTTGATGCCCACCACTGTGAAATAAACATTGTTTAGCTGAACTTTTAGATGACCGAGTCACCTCGATGAAGACGTAGTTATGTGGACCTTACAAAGAGGCGAATAATAGAGCTTCTAATAGAGTAGAGAGGGATTTTGTACACTTGAGGAATAACCTCTTATCTATTGTTTCCTTTTGGTGCATCTGTGAGATCCTTGTTTGTAAAGAACATTGTGTCATTCCTAAAAAAATAAAATACTTCCATTAGGTTTTCTAATTTTTGGTATTCTCCTTGTATACGGGCATGTTTTTGACCGTCATGTATTGAAAGTTTACCTTAATAAAAAAAGATATATTTGAGGGTCATTATATAATTTTCTGCAACACATGGAAAACATTTTGTTGTACTGTATTCAGTCTAAAATTTGCTTAAGCTATAAACTCTTAGAATATCCCAGTAGACCTGAAAATATGCCCCCCATGGATTGATTTTCAAGTTTGAACTCATTTTTAAGCTCGTTCAGTTTATTGACACGAGTCATGCTCAACTCACAAGATCGATGTGAGCTTGATTGTCCTTGGAGCTTGACTTTATATGCTACTCGAAGTCAAGCTTGAATATGCAGGTCTTGGGGGTTTGGGACTTTGGGGTTGGCAGTTTATAGAATTTAACATTATTGGGTGTTGGAGATCACATACCTTACATTCACTAAAACAATTTTTTGTTGATTCCCTTCTCTAAATATAATGCTTGTGCACCTCAAAAGAAGAAGTACACCGATGAGTGTTACAAATAATTATTTGTGCTTTGCATAGTTGCTTTACATTATCACTCCTTTTCTGCAAGTGTCGATGCTTGTTCCTTAACAACAAATGAATGGTGTAATTGATTTCAAATATCAGCATACCTGCTGCTCTGGAAACAAAAACTTTTTTTTAAAGAGTGATTTTCTTTACAGGTTAATAGCTTACGGCAGGAACTGCAACTCTTGGCTTCAAATAGATCTGTTACAATTGTGACATCAAGTGGATCAGGTTTTTGTTACTACATATCGTTAGTTGTATATGGAAGCAATTAAAGGTTCTTCTGTCTTCTGATGGAAACAACAGGATCTTTATGACAGTAGTGTCTTAGGATATCTATTGTCATTTTCTTAATTTGCCAAGACAAATCGTGGTCTCATTGTCAGTGTACCACGTGCCTTGCAAATTAAAATCTCCTTACCTGTAATACTCTTCTATTCTGCTTCATTTATAGCATTACTTTTTTCAGTTAACTTGTTTTTTTAAAATTGTATTCAGGTTCTAGCAGATATACTATAATCATTGTTGTTGTGGTGATGGGGTATGGCTATATTTGGTGGAAGGTAACACCTTTTATTTCTCTCTGCTAGATGGAACTGTATGTCATGATAATGTTGGATGCACAAATTATGTCTTCTAATTCATGTAACTACCCTCCATTTGACGGTCGACCATACCGTCCTTATCTTAAGGAATTGAGTACAAATTGTTTCCTTGCTCCTAAGAGTTTATTGTTCCTTAACTATGCCCTTCAAACAAACTGTTAAATCAAAAGGCAACTGCTACAGCCCGTGTTAGATATATAATTTTAGTCAAATGTGCAGCCCCATATATATATATATATATATATACATATACATATATTTTTTTTCCCCTTTCCTAATTATCATTGCCATGGAAGGGTTCGACAGTTTGATGAGGAGAGCTTCTCTAAACAACTGAATTAGGGGTTTCAGAATCAAAAACAAAATTAATGAGGTGATGGATATTGACTCATTTACCATATGCGGATGGCACAATAATTTTTTGTGAAGCAGAGCAGGAACAACTCTGTCACATCAGAATTATTCTGGTAATTTTTGAGGCATCTGGACTTAAGGTGAATTGGAGGAAAAGTAGCATTTTTCCTATTAAAGAGGTCCAACAGATTCAAGCTTTGGCTAATATATTGAAGTGCAAGATAGAGAGGTTGCCTACCGTTTATCTAGGTATGCCATTGGGTGCTAAGCATAAAGCAGTTAGCATCTGGAATGATGTACTAGAAAAATTAGAGAGGAGACTGGCACTTTGGAAATCTCAATATCTATCCTTGGGGGAAAGAGTCACTTTGATTAATTGTGTTTTAGACTCTTTGCTAACATATGTGATGTCACTTTTTTCAATTCTTGGCAAGGTAGTAAAAGCTAAGCTATAGACTCATTGAGAAACTTGCTTTGGCAAGGTAACAAGATTGAAAAGAGCTAGAACTTAGTTAAATGGATGGCGATTCAACAGTGCAAAAGATATGGGGGTTTGGGAGTAAGAAACGTAAAGGTACATAACAACAGCTTACTCACCAAATGTTGTGGAGATACAATTTGGAAGATCGAGCTCTATGGAAGGAACTCATTCAACACAAGTATGGTCAGGAAGATCAATGGTGTTCAGAGGAAGTGACAGAAACATATGGTGTGGGAGTATGGAGGACTATAAGAAACCTATGCCTGACTTTCCGAGACAATGTAAGGATAAAGGTTGGTCGAGGAAATAAGTCTCTGTTCTGGAAGGAAGACTGGACTGGTCAAGGGTCCTTGGAAAATTTATTCCCTGGGTTGTTTTCCATTTGCCTGAATCCTGACTGCAAAATACAAGAGGTTTGGTCCCCACAAGGATGGAATTCGCTCTTTAGGAGATTTCTTAATGTTTGGGAAATAGAGTGGGTAACGGATATGCTAGCTTTGATTGGAGATGTTCCTAGCACAAATCTAGTAACAGATCAATTGTTATGGAGGCATCATACTAATGGTCAATTCTTTGTGAACAGAATGTATAAAAGGGATCTAGCCACAATTGCGGGGAAGAAATCAGGGCCATGGAGTGCTATATGGAAGAGTGTAGCCCCTACTAAGGTGACATGTTTCACGTGGTTGGTAACTAGGAGAGCTTGCCTGACACATGATAAACTTCAAAAGAGGGGAAAAATTATTGCCTCAAGATGTTATCTTCGTAAAGAGGCCCTAGAAACCAACAATCATCTGTTTCTTCACTGCAAAGTAACAACACAAGTATTGGCTCTATTTGCCAATATAATGATTCTAAATTGGATTATGCCAGAACATACAGCAGACCTACTAAGTTGCTGGGTCTGAAGGAGAGGTAGTAAAAGTCAGAGGAGGTGGTGGAGAACCGTACCTGCTTGTATCTGGTGGAGCATTTGGAAGGAGAGAAATCAGAGAATTTTTGTAGGGAAAGAATGCACTATAGAGAAGATTAAGTGGAAAGTAATTACCACTTTAGGTTTTTGGTGTAAAGAAATGAACATAGAAGAAGAAATTCAACTAGCGGATTTCATAGGAGCTTTGTAAGTGGTCCTGTTTTTTTGTTGGTTTTTCTATGTAACTAACACTTTTGGAGGTGGCCAGCATAGCCCTTGATGCTGAGGAATACAATGTTACCAGTTGCAAAAAAAATTGTTTTTATAATCATGGTGTCCGAGCCAGCTTTCACGTACCTCAATTAATTCCACGAGACCTGCCATTTCCCACCAGCAATAGGTACTAAGTAACCCTTGTCCACCAAGGCTAGAATTGATGAGAAGAAATCACCTAGTGGTTTGTCTCTATTGGGATTTGAACTTGAGACCTCACAGTCCTCAACCCACTTCATGACCACTATGCCACATCCTTCGTTGCAATCTATTTACATTTATATTGGTAAACGAGGTGGAGGTTAATAGTTAAGATTATTTGCCTGCTAGTTCGGATGCCACAGGCTTGGATGTTTTCTAACTGAGTTTTTTGTCAATGACTGCACCTTAGAATTGACTTGCATGCTTGTAGGGTTGGAAGCTTCCTGAATTTATGTTTGCGACCAGGCGGAGCTTATCTGATGCATGTGGTAGTGTGTCCAAACAGCTTGAGAGTGTATACACATCTATTTCTGTAAGTTCTTATTTCCTGATTTACTGTTTTTATCTATACTATTCTAAAAGGACAAAGTCCCTACACAAAATTTTGGACTTTTTTATTCATAAAAAGTAGATTTCACATTGTACACTTGTAATTTAATTGTTTTTATAATATTTATGATTTTGAAATCAACTGCTCCCTCTGTCCCATTTTTTGTGATTGCACTTTGATTGTGCACAAAATTTAAGAAAGAATATTTGTGACTTAAAATCATCTATTAAGGTAAAGTAAAATGCTTAATGTTAATTATTTCTAAATATTGAAAAATATCATTCTTTTGGGACAAACTAAAAATGAAATTGTATCACATCATTTAGGTTGAAGGAGTAAAATTTTGGTTATTTATTCTTTCCTTATAGTATGTAGAATGTCTGTATTTAGGGTTTTCAAAACGACTAAGATTTTACTTTACACAAACCATTTTCTTACTTGAACTATGTAATATTACTATAAGTTCGTTCTTTTATCATCATATACATTTATTTGAAGCGAAATTTAGCTCGGTGGGGTCAAAAGTACTTCATTTAATGCACATGTTATTCTACATTTTAGGTGTTGTAAATACATGACAGTGAATTTACCGGTAGTTAATCTGAATGGATTCATCTATAATGCCAGTTCAATTCAAGTAGCTATGTTAAGGGAGTTGTAACTTGTAAGCTTCTTAACATTAGAGAATACACGGACAAAGAGGGAAGAGGAAATATGTGGGTAGCTAAAACCTTGGGAGCTGAAAGTAACATGGTAAAATTAATTTCTACACAAGCTTATACAGGGGGCTTAAAAGACCAGATATAATTACTAAGGTTGAATAGAGGTGTACTCCAAATTAATTATGATACTGTACTAATTTTTAACCTTTTCTTTTCATTATGAAAAAGGAAAACTATGTTGTTAGAATCTTTCTAATAAAATCTCATAACCACTTGATCTGTGATAATACTTCATAGTTCCCGATGCTTAGATTATAATATATTTAGATCGTGAAGTAAAATTATTTTCATATTATTATTTGTACTTTTGTGTTAGTTGACAAATATTTGAAGAATCGTGAAAAATGTATTTCTATGTTACTTGTTTGTTTTCAGGTTGGTCATTTTTAACTTCACATTGTCGCTTATCAATTTTTTAGGAGCTATAGAGCCAACTTCATTCATTTCTTATTCTAATAGACCTAAAGATTCAAAATTTATTGTGTTATTTGACAATTTTTCGAAGAATTGTGATGAATTATTGTTATTACTTTGTTTTCAGTGTAAGGTCACAAAAATTAACAACAATTTTCTTAATATAATCCCATAGAAGTCCTCAGAAATCACAGTAAGGCATCTATGTACTTCTGTTAGGTAGAATTTCTCCTTATTGAGCTTAGCTAGATGAGTTCAATGTTCACCATTTTATGGGAATTTACCCATTTTTTAGTATTCTATCATTCAAACACATTATGTAATTTTTTAAGTTGTTTTCATTGATATGAAGGACACATGCAAAGTGCGTACCCAGAAACTAGTATATTCAAACATGTGAAACTCAAGAGTGAGTTGGACAATAGTTACATCGTGTAATTGCCATGTGCCATAGTTGTGAAGTGGATATTGTGTGCTTGGTGCAAGTCTAATGCCATTGGAAAGTTTCCAAGGGTTATTACCTTAGTTTGTATTGGCAGTGGTGAATTCAGACCGTTCCTTGTTGCAGCTCTGTGTCCACTCATCTCGAACTTCACAATTGAGGTTGCACTTCTCTGTTTGTGTGTTACATATCTCTTGTTGATGAAAATAGTCATCAAGCTAGGATGGTTACCTCCCAACTGCGGGCCCTAAAATGACACTTGTGAAACAGCCTTTTCACAACAGAATACTCATCAGCCTAGGAATTTGACATTCATACTATAGACTCTTTTTCTTTTGATAATTGTGGTGTGCGGGCCAGTTAGTGGCACTCAGTGTGCACCTCAACCAATTCCATGGGTTACCTTGTGCCTCTCGTCAGCACATGTGCCAATAACTCTGTTTATCAATGCTTTGGATAAATGGGAAGAAGACATAGTGTTTTGTGTCACCTGAGATTTGAACTTCAAACTTCATGGTTCAAAACCCATTCATTGACCACTAGGATAAACCCTTGGGTAGCATTCCTACAATTACTCCTTATTATGTTGGTTCTCATAAAAAGGTGTAGTGCTCCCGAATTGGTGATTATTGGCATGATTTTACTTCTAATATCTAGACACCTATTGTGTATGTGTGCTCATTGACATATGGCACTACCATTATAGAATTTCTGCAGCTGGCTCATGATCCAGAGTTATCTACCGTGACTCTTTAAAAAAAGAAAAAAGAATAAAGAAAGAAAAATGAACTGCATGGTTCAGGTCATTCTGCATGTGGCTATCACATAAAAGATGCCCAAGGTTTGCTCACTTTCGTAATTATGCAATCGGTCCAATGTACTTGTGTTGTCTATCCCCTGGTGATGAGGGTAGTTAGTAAGGGGTCGTTTGTTAAGGAGTATTACGAGAAGTAGTCCATATTATGTATGACATTATTTAGTACTATTTTTGGTAATATTTAGTAGATGGTGTACTTTTTAAATTGAAAGTTGATGTTTTGTGCGTGTTCAATTTATTAAGATGACAATTATATACCCTTAAGTCATTCAAGAGAGAAAATAGCAAACATGTGAACAAAATTGTTCTTTAGTTAGAAGGCCATAAGAAAAATAATATTGTCTAGCAATTATCTACCTTGACCCAATTATATGTAATAGAAAATCCCATAATAATTCAAGGGTATAATTGGAAATAAGCTTTCTAATTTACTCAAAACACAAAGATGTGGTGGAAAACAATGAACCAAACATTTGGTAAAAAATAAACCCTGCATTACTAATCCTTGCACTACTGTCCATGCTTTACTAATCCTTGCGTTATTAATCTCTGTACAAAAAGACCCCTAAGCATACTGGAGAGATGTCTTGTTAAGACTATGACCATTGCTTGCTTGCCTGGTGTAATATTTATGTTCTCCATTAGATAGATTACCTTTTCTTCTATGTTTTAGTGTCTTTAAAATTTATTTTTTTCCTTTATGTTGCCAGGCCACAAAGCGCCATTTAGCTTCACGAATTGATCGCGTGGATACTAAAATTGATGATTGTGTGGATAATACTGCTGCAACGAGAGACGAGGTGAGACCAATAATGGCTTGTACATTTAGTTAGGTTGAAGCTTTTAGATTCTTGTAATTGATGCGGCATCATTAAATGTATAGGTTTCTGAAATTCGAGGAAAAGTGAGAACATTTGGTGAGGATGTCCAGTCAGTTCATCTTGTTGTCCAATCATTGGTGAGAAGATCTTCTATCTATCAGCGTTTTGTTTTCACTTTATGTGCCAATTAAGCTTTTCTTCTTACACAGTAGGTTTTTGCTTCATATTGGGTTTTCCACTTCATTCGGTAACATTAGGGTTTTTACAGCTCTACTTTTCGTTAGCAAAATTTGATTGTCATGTGGAACTGAAAACTGCCTTTTCTTATATGAACAGGAGACAAAAATTAGTAGAATTGAAGGGAGACAGGTACTTGAATTGTCTTTGCTATTTTCATAATTTTGATTTAGCTTAAATTATGTCCATGTTATAGTAATGGTGGTATTATGATCTGTTGTGTAGAATGAAACAAACTATGGTGTGGGAAAGTTGCTTTCTTTTGTGAGGAGCATTGAAACTAGGAGACCCAAGGAGCAGATTGAGGTATGACTTCTCTTAATGTTTGATATCATTTTTCCCTATGTTTTCTTCTAACTATTGTGTTTTCAATGTGTAGGCACCTCCATCTAGCTCATCTAGACCTGCTCTTGAATTACCATCAGTCGCTTCCTCAGCACGGGTAGACTGAAACTATTTTTACATTGCTGGGTCAATAGTTTCTTGTTTATATTTATAGTTAAAGGGCTTATCGTGTCGCAGACCTAGTTCTTCTTCCTTCTCTTGTTTGTCTGTCTTTTTATGGTATTCCTCTCCTGGGGAGTTAAAAAAGTTAAATGATCTAGTTATATTGCAAGACCACATTAATTATGATTTCCAAAGTATATCTTCAGTCATGTGGATGGGCTGACTATGCTGCCTTTGTATAAACAGATTCATAGACATGGCAAATTTTACATTGTAGATTGATTACTTTGCTTTTTATATTGGGTTTTCAGTTCTTTTTCATGCCAATCTTGTGATAACTATGCACCGTCGTAAAAAAGTTAAATGATCTACTTTTATTGCAAGACCACATTAATTATGACTTTCAAAGCATATCTGCAGTCATGTGGATGGGCTGACTATGCTGCCTTTGTATAAACAGATTCATAGACCTGGCAAATTTTACATTGTAGATTGATTACTTTGCTTTTTATATTGGGTTTTCAGTTCTTTTTCATGCCAATCTTGTGATAACTATGCACCGTCTAGTAATAACCTGCATTTTGCTTTCTTGATTTTCTTCTGCAGGCTGAGTCTTTGCCTCCAAGTTTATCAGTCGAATCATCATCTCCATCTGCTTCTAGTGTATCTCCGAAGGTTAGTTGGTTAGTCTTGGCAGTGATTTACTGCCCCATTTAAGAGTTTATTAGCTTTATAGAAGCAGTGTTTTTATTAGAAAAATTCTAATTTAGCTTCTACTGGATACACCATGACACTGGGGCCTTCCCAGAGTGTAAGTAGCTTATAGTTTCCAATTTTGGTGTTCAACAGAAAATATTAGTTGAAGGTGTTTCTGATAAAGCTCTTTATCATCTTCGACTTCTAATTAGAAGAACTAATCCTCCTTTAAACTCTTTGCAGCGTCCTTTGCATGGTGCTGTATCTGCCTCAGGCCTTAAGGTAGTAATAATTCTTTCAAGTTCTAAACTTTTAACCATGGCTATGCAGTTCTGAAATTAGTTCCTGTTTTGTTTTTGTCTCTTTAGGAGCTTGGAGGTATATCAGATGTAGTCGAAGTGTCAAATGAAAGCAGTCCTCAGGTTTCCAATGCTGTTTTCACCTCGGAACAGAGGAGCAATGAGAACTCTGGTTTTGGTAGCGTGTATGGGCGTAAATTTGCAGGCGTTGGTGCTTCTTTTCTCACAAGAAGCCGCAGTGCTATGCAGAGTTTTAAGTGAGGTGGTTCACCAATCATTATAATAATTGAACTTCTCTATGGTATATATTAAAAGTAGTGTTGCTGCTGAGCATGTATCTTTGCTCAGGGAGTATTTTGCCATTTTTTGATGGCTGCTGAATTTTGTAGAGCCAATATTTACCGAGGTACTTAGTAGGATACATGTGTAAGTTCAGGCTAGAAATTGTTTAGATAAGCTGAAGAAAGGAAAAACAGGAAATTGGATGAAGGGATCTTCATGTCAATTTATCTCCTTGCCTCCATAGAAAAAAAATGATTTGCTGTTTTCTGCATGTTCATTTTCTGCAGCTGGTCGTACCTAGGTCTTTACTTTGTATCTGTTGGGTTTGATGTGTTGCTTCTGGGCCCCTGTAGTACTTAGACCTTGAGCAGTTCTCTGTTTCAATGATGATCGAATGCATAGTCCAGGAATGATACTCAAATATGCTGCAATGGAGATGACGGTCTGGATCCGCCATTGGTGAGCGTTTTTGAAATCCTATGGTGTCAAACGCTCATGCAGGTTGAAACCTTGTTGATTGATAATTTGGTATAATTGTTAACATCAGTTGCTATTTGTGCACGAGTCTGTAGCTCTGAATCTGTAAGAAACTTATTTCCATTTCTAATTGCTGTAAGATATATAGCATACGTACTAAAACATATGTTTAACAGCAATTCAATAAAACCAACGAAAGTAGAAAACGGAAAAGCAACAACAATGCCATCATGTCGTCTTGTTGAATATGAGCTGAAATCAATCAACTCTAGGGTTGTAGGACTGATTTTGATAGTCTTAATTCATGTATTGTCAATGTCTGGCATCTGAAGTGAAGAAAATTTTAAGGCATCTTCTGTTAACACACACATAATGCCTCCCTCCCTCCTTGATATGTTTATCTCATTCACCACCATAGTAATATTCCATCAAGAATCTTATTCATGGCCATTGGATGATCAGTTTCCATCACTACTGGAAACTAGGTGGTTTAATAAGCAGAATTCCATGCCGATTTCAATGGTAAATATATTTTGAAGCCAACGATACCTTGTATATGTTAAATCATGTTTTGAAGCCAACGATACACTGTACATGTTAAATCTTTGAAGTAACACTGTACGTACGTCCATGTGTTACTATGTTTCTTCTTTTTCAGAGCTGCCATAAAATAGAGAGTAGAATCTGCTTTCAATATTGGCTTGAGCTTGTATGGTCTTAACCAATAGTCCACCATTTGATCACCGTACAAAAGGATCTCCATGTTTTGGCTACAAATGATGTCGTGAGAAACAGTAGAGATGCCAATCCTAGATAATATTTTATCAATAAGAATTTTATATTTTCATAGCCTCCACACACACACAAAAAAAAAAAAAACAGACCTTCAAAACCAACCCCTTCGATTCATATATTTTTATAATATTACTTTTATGAGCCTTTATCTAATTATATAAGTACTCTTTTCGTTCAATTTTACTTGTCATGTTGCATTTTTCGAAAGTCATTTTGACTAATTATCAAAGTTAAATTTAGATTTTATATTAATTTGATATTTTAAATTAAAAAAATTAAATATTCAAAAACTATATGAAAAGTACTATAAATTGCAAATTATTTGTATATCAATATGATGAAAAAATTACATCTTAAAATGTTAGTCAATTTTTATAGTTTGACTCTAAAAATAGAAATAATGACAATTAAAAATAGATAAAGAATAAAAACAATGAAATTTAAAAATAGATGAAAGTAATAGTTTTAAGCACTATGGTGTGCATCGTAATTTGGGTACATCCTATATATGATTCTACACTTTTTTTGATATTAGAATGTTTAGATTTTACAAGAGCTAAATGGAGAATTTTTATGGGAAACTGTGAAGCAGGCCCATCACGTATAAAGTATCGGGAATCAGGCTCTCTTTTACAATATAGTCAAATTAAATAGGAAATTTTTTAAAATATTAATATTTTAATATTTAATAGAGTATACTGTTAACATTTATAATAATAGTGATAATGTTAAAATTTTATCTTATTATGTATGTTAATTATATTTTAATTATTTTATTTAATTAAAAAGAATATAAAATTTATATAACAAACAAGAGTTATTTAGGGAGAGAAAATTTATAAAAAGTAACTAATGCTTAAAACTCTCAACATCATTACAACTTATATAAAAATTGAACGATAAATCTGTCAATTATTCATGATGTTCATCAATTACAAAAAAATTCTTGCGAGGTTTATGTTTTGAAAAATAATCTGGGTAAAAGCTTTTTGGAAAATAAACAGGATAGAAAAATCTAAAGTCAGGTATGTTTTAGTTTATTAATCCTTATTTTTTTGTATTTGATGGAGATTTGATGCGATTTTGCTTGTATAATTATTAATCATATGTATTTGTGTTTTGAATTTTTATGTATTTTGATCAATGCAATTATCATTATTTTTCTGGGTTTGTCGACATTGTTTCTTTTTTTTTAATTCAAATATACTGATTTATTATAAAAAAAATAAAGACTATTCTGATTTGAATTTGTTTTGTAACTTTTGTATAAACAGAATACAAAATACATTAATTATATGAAATACAATATACAATTCTAAATCTATGGATACAAAAATACATTAAAACTATGAAATACAAAAATACATACTGACTAAAACATCAAAATTCAATATACACTTTCAAATCTATGAATACAAAAAACATTAAAAAAATAAATACTAACTATAACAGAATCAAAATTCCATATACACTTACAAATCTAACCGATAATAGTAAATACACATATATTGACATAATTAACACAAAAAAAAAACAGAATATCAAAATACAATAATATGATATACAAAAATACACTTCCAAACGCATTGTAACATGTATTTATTTGAATCTTAAAATTTACTAAACATATTCAACTAAACATGCAAGACACATACATGCAAAAAAAAAAAAACCTCTTCTCCAACAAATTGATCTTCTTCAACTTTGTGGTTATGAAATACACAATCAAACTCATAATATGTGTTACATTGACATAACTAACACAAAAAAAAAAGCAGAATACCAAATGTCACGACCCAAAAATGGACGTGATGGCACTCGTCTTATCCCACCAAGACAAGTAAGCCTAAAACTCAACTATTACAATAAAAATGCGGAAAATTTACCATCAACTTACAGTATACCCCAAAACCTGGTTGTCACGTGTACAAGCCTCTAAAGTATTACAATCGGATCAAAAGAAAATATAAGTCTCATATGATATTGTTTCTAGAGTAGAACAAAATCATAAAAAAGAGTAAGGAGGGATGCTGAGATGACCAAAAACTACCTCACAAAATCTCCAGGAAGCCTCGGAAAAGAAGAGAATATATCATAAAAGTCCGAGCTAGTAACCTACAAAAATTTGTAGAAGCAAGGGGTGAGTACCAAACCACACGGTACTCAGCAAGTAAACCTCTAAACACAAGCTAAGGGGATGAAATACGGGTACTCCTACCACCCCAACCGAACCTCCACAACTACAACCTGCAAAAACATCAGCCCAACCTAACAACTCACAGTTTACATAGAACGTAACTCAACAACAACATCTAGACAAATTACATATCCTTCACAACAACACTTTAACAAATTACATATCCTCCACAACAATACTTTAACAAATTATATATCCTCAACATCAACACTTAAACAAATTAGATATCCTCAATAGCAACACTTCCAAAAATTTACATATCCTCAATAACACACTTCAACAAATTACATATCCTCAACAACAACACTTCAACAAATTATATATCCTCAATAACAGACTCAGTATTCAACAATCACAAGTTCCGCAAAAAGGCAATCACTAGATCAACAAAACACAATATCAAGTTCACTAATGATAAGTATGTGCAATGTAATGGAATGCAATGTCAAGTATAATGATGCATGTCTGACCTAGTGATACACACCCGCTGTCTCTCAGTACGGGACCCATGAGGGACATATCTTTTCATGCATCTGTCGCGGCGCACGACACGACCCTCGATAACAGTAACTATCGCGGCGCGCGATACGTCCCTCGAAATATAGTATCCATCGCGGTGCGCGATACGTCCCTCGAAATATAGTATCCATCGCAGCGCGCGATACGTCCTTCGAAATGGTACATCCTCTTTAAGTTATCATTCTTTCTCAATGCACATAACACTTTCACAACCATGTCTCAGAATAATGCAATGACATGTTCACACAAATAATGAGGAGATGACCATTTTCATAACATTGCACAGTTCACAACCACACAAACATGAAATCACATCAACAATGATTCAACAAGCCATCAAACTTTTCTCAACACATCACACATAAGTAATTAATCACATCGCCTTATGTTATCCCTTTTATTTCATCATTAGAATTAATCAATGTGGACAAGTCAACCCATCACCAATCTCGTTACTCCCAAACATATATCACAAGGAAATACACACATTCCATACACTTAACAAGAGTTTAGAAATCCACTTGCCTCAAATAGTAGAACAATCACTCCGGAACTTGAGTCTTCTCTTTTTGTTGAACTTCCAACTCAAAAAAATCTATTCAAATAAGTAACCACGATAAGACTTCGAAACTAACAACACCCAACTCTATAATCAAGTTCCTAACCTTCAAGCCTAGGGTTAAGTCATAACTCCTCCAAACACTAAAACCCTAATAGTTTTCATTTAATATAATATACCTAATATTTAATTACATATCTTAATATCTCAAAACAAGAATCATAATATGATAAAAGAGGATCAAAAATTACAACTCTATTAGCGCTTAACCTAGAACTTAGAAGTAAAGAAAATTTTCGATACTCCACAGTGTCATATATTCCCATTCCATCACTTCCCAATTCATTATGGTTTATGCAGTGGTTACCTAATAATTATAATATAATATAAAGTCTTCACTTTCAACTATCTTGTTTCTCCCCCTAAGTCATAAAACGTGGAATCTATATATAAGCTTTTGTAAATTTATCACATAATCCAACATAAATAATAACAATTTAATCTCTATCCATATGCAATACAATAGTTAGGCACAATTACCTGCTTCACTGGATCGGTCGAGCGGTGATGAAATCCTCTTCGAGAGGCCATTCGTTCTTTTATATTATTTTTTCCTTTAACTGATTAGGGCAAATAATTATAACCCACTAAATTGTTAAATAAATGTTAGTTATTTAATAATTAACCATCAATTAATTCACTCTAGTTAAATAAATATTTCAAATTTCCAAAAATGACCTTCCGGGTCATTACACCAAAATACAATAAATATATGAAATACAAAAATACACTTCCAAAACCATTGCAACATGTATTTATTTGAATCTTAAAATTTACGAAACAAATTCAACTAAACATGCAAGACACATATCATACAAAAAAAATATACACCTTCTCCAACAAATTGATCTTCTTCAACATCGTGGTTATGAATTTGTGTGAGATTTAGCACACCGACAGAGTCCTGCATTTTTCCCCATCGTATATCCTCCACAGATTTAGAAGCGGAACCTGCATTGTTGTTTATTTCTTGAGTGAAAAAAATATTAAATGATGAAAAATCAGAAGAAATTTGATTATTTTGTCCAATATCTCTAGTAAGTCTC